TAAAAGAAACATTAATAGATAATATGGATGAACATAATCACTTTTTCCTAAATTTGAATCTGATTCAAAGTAAAAAATGCGAGAATAACATGAATTACAAAAAAATCTAAAATTTATAAGTCGATGTTACAAGATATGCACCATCATGAACTAACAAACATATACATAAAACCACTTATACTCAATTTTGATATAGTTAAATTTAATGAGATGATGTGAAATGATATACAAGATAAATTTTTATATTATAGAAATTTTTTAAAAATTGAGAGTTAAGATTGCAATCATTTATTTTGAATACGTACATACAATACAAAATTTTAAAAGATTAACTCAAATAAAATGAACATTGATAGATAATGTGGATGAACATAAGCAATTTCTCCAAAACTTGAATCTAATTTAAATTGAGAAATGCGAGAATAAGAGAAATTATAAATAAATATAAAATCTGTAAGTCGATCTTACATGATATACACCATCATGAACCAACAAATATATATATAAAATCATTTATACCCAATTTTAATTTACCTAAATTTAATGAGATAATCTGAAATGATATGTAAATAAATTTTGAAATTAAAGAAATTTCTTAAAAATTGGGAGTCAAAATTGCAATAATTTATTTTAAATATGTACATATAATGTAAAACTTTAAAAAATTAACTCAAATAAAATAAACATTGATAGATAATGTGGATGAATATAAACAATTTTTGCTAAGTTTGAATTTGATTCAAAGTTAAAAATACGAGAATAAGAGAAATCATAAAGAAATCCAAAATCTAAAAATCAATATTACAATATATGCACCATCATGAACCAACAAAAATATACATAAAATTACTTATAATCAACTTTGATTTATCTAAATTCAATGAGTTAATATAAAAAGATATGCAAAATAAATTTTAAAATTAAAGAAATTTCTTAAAAATTGTTAGTCAAGATTGTAATCATTTATTTTGTATATGTATATACAATGCAAAACTTTAAAAGATTAGCTCAAATAAAAAAAATATTAATAGATAATGTGAATGGGCATAATCAGTTTCTCCTAAATTTGAATATGATTCAAAGTGAGAAATGCGAGACTAAGATGAATCATAAATAAATCCAAAATCTTTAAGTCGATGTTACAGGATATATATCATCATGAACCAACAAATATATGCATAAAATAACTTATACCCAATTTTGATTTAGAATTTAATGAGATAATCTGAAATGATATACCAGATAAATTTTGATATTAAAGAAATTTTTTAAAATTTGGGATTCAAGATTGTAATAATTTATTTTGGATATGTACATACAATACAAAATCTTAAAAGATTAATTCAAATAAAAGGAACATTGATAGATAATGTGGATGGACATAAGCAGTTTTCTCAAAACTTAAATCTTATTTAAAGTGAGAAATGCGAGAATAAGAGAAATCACAAACAAATCTAAAATCTGTAAGTTGATCTTACATGATATACACCATCATGAACCAACAAACATATGCATAAAATCACTTATACCCAATTTTAATTTACCTAAATTTAATGAGATAATCTGAAATAATATGTAAAATAAATTTTGAAATTAAAGAAATTTCTTAAAAATTGGGAGTCAAAATTATAATCATTTATTTTAAATATGTACATATAATGCAAAACTTTAAAAATTAACTCAAATAAAATGAACATTGATAGATAATGTAGATGAACATAAGCGGTTTTTTCTAAGTTTGAATCTGATTCAAAGTTAAAAATGCGAGAATAAGAGGAATCACAAAAAAATCCAAAATCTGTAAGTCGATATTACAGGATATGCACCATCATGAACCAACAAACATATATATAAAATCACTTATATTCAATTTTGATTTACCTAAATTCAATAAGATAATATAAAAGGATATGCAAAATAAATTTTGAGATTAAAATTTTTTTAAAAAAATTGTGAGTTAAGATTGCAATAATTTATTTTGTATATGTACATACAATGTAAAATCTTAAAAGATTAACTCAAATAAAAGAAACATTAATAGATAATGTGGATGAACATAAACAATTTTTCCTAAGTTTGAATATGATTCAAAGTGAGAAATATAAGAAAAAGAGAAATTACAAAAAAATTCAAAATCTGTAAACATATGTTACAAGATATCCACCATCATAAACTAAAAAACATATTCATAAATTTAATGAGATAATCTGAAATGATATATAAAATAAATTTTAAAATTAAAAAAATTTCTAAAAAATTGGGAGTCAAAATTGTAATCATTTATTTTAAATATGTACATATAATGCAAAACCTTAAAAGATTAACTCAAATAAAAGGAATTTTGATAGATAATGTGGATGAACATAAGTAGTTTTTCCTAAGTTTAAATCTGATTCAAAGTTAGAAATGTGAGAATAAGAAAAATCACAAACAAATCTAAAATCTGTAAGTCGATTTTACAGGATATGCACCATCATAACCAATAAACATATATATAAAATCACTTATATCCAATTTTGATTTACCTAAATTTAATGAGATAATCTGAAATGATTTGTAAAATAAATTTTAAAATTAAAGAAATTTCTTAAAAATTGGGAGTCAAGATTGTAATAATTTATTTTAAATATGTACATATAATGCAAAACTTTAAAAGATTAGCTCAAATAAAAGAAATATTGATAGATAATGTGGATGAACATAAATAGTTTTTTCTAAACTTGAATCTGATTCAAAGTGAGAAATGCGAGAATAAGAAAAATCATAAAAAAATTCAAAATCTGTAAGTCGATGTTACAGTATATGCACCATCATGAACCAACAAATATATATATAAAATCACTTATACCTAATTTTGATTTACCTAAATCAATGAGATAATATAAATGGATATGCAAAATAAATTTTGAGATTAAAAAAATTTCTTAAAAATTATGAGTCAAGATTGTAATTATTTATTTTGTATATGCACATACAATACAAAACTTTAAAAGATTAGCTCAAATAAAAGAAACATTGATAGATAATGTAGATGAACATAATCAGTTTTTCCTAAATTTGAATCTGATTTAAAGTAAAAAATGCGAGAATAAAATGAATTACAAAGAAATCCAAAATTTGTAAATCGATGTTACAGGATATGCACTATCATGAACCAATAAATATATACATAAAATTATTTGTACTCAATTTTGATTTTATTAAATTTAATGAGATAATATGAAATGATATATAAGATAAATTTTTAGATTAAATAAATTTTTTAAAAATTGAGAGTCAAGATTGCAATCATTTATTTTGGATATATACATACAATACAAAATCTTAAAAGATTAGCTCAAATAAAAGGAATATTGATAGATAATGTGGATGGACATAAACAGTTTTTCCAAATCTTGAATTTGATTTAAAATGATAAATGCGAGAATAAGAGAAATTACAAACAAATCTAAAATCTGTAAGTCGATCTTACATGATATATACCATCATGAACCAACAAACATATACATAAAATCACTTATAACCAATTTTGATTTACCTAAAATTAATGAAATAATTTGAAATGATATTTAAAATAAATTTTGAGATTAAAGATTTTTCTTTAAAATTAGGAGTTAAGATTATAACCATTTATTTTGGACATGTACATATGATGTAAAATTTTAAAAGATTAATTCAAATAAAAAGAGTTTTTGAAATGTTTGAATTTCTAACACGTAAAAGTGGCATATAATAATTCAATTACTTCATTCCACGAGACTTCAAAACCTTCAATGCTTAATAAATCAAGTTTTATTACTTAATGAATAACAACTAAGTAAACTACTAATTAATATTAAATCTAACTTTGTTTTACCTTGGAATCAATCGACTTCATTTACCAAAACTCAACACCAAAACAACGAAATTCACTCTCCAAAAGTTTCACTAACGCAAAATATCTCTTATTAGAGTAAATATATATTTTTCTCATCCATGTTTAATTTTTCTTTTAATTTAAATGATCAATCCGGGTAAAATTAAAAAAAATAAAAATCCAAAGACAACAAATTATCACTTGTTTCATTGTAAATTAACCTTATGAGTTTTTAATGATAATTAATAATTTAATTTTTTATTTTATATAAATATATTTATGAGTAGATGAAATTTGCACTTGAATTTCTAGTAGCAAATAATTTTATCTGAAATTAAAAAATAATAATCTTAAAAATAAATAATTTGTTTAACCTGCAAATAATTAAATTAATTGTTAAAATTATAATTTCTTAAAGAATAGCAATAAGAAAAAAAGGAGAGATTACAGAAAAAAAAGGGTGACTGGGCCCAAGCGAGCCCAAAAGACGGAAGGCAACCCCACTTATGGTGGAAAATATATCGAACGGCCGACCATTAATATTTATTTTTTCCTTCTCTCCTATTGCCATTCACCCCCCAGACCAAATCAAGACAACCTCTGTAACCGCCTCTGCTAACGTCAGCCGACGGTGTCCGTCGCATGCTTCTTGTTGCTGCCACCTGAGATAGACATCCAGAAATCGGGGCTCCGAACTCGAATCCTCAACGCCATCCCCAGGTTCTTTTATTCGTTTCTTTTATGTTCCGGGGTTTAGGGTTTTGCCATTCCATGTGAATCATCAATTTCTGCGGAGCAGTTCCTTGGTTCTTTTATATTAGTTGTATTTTTTTCCTCCGAAATTTCTCTTTTCTTCTTTTTATGTTGCTGGATGTTTCAATTTTTTTTTTCACTGGGTTTAGGCTGGAATTTCTCTCTCTTGATGCACTGATTGGTTTTCAAACACATAGCCAAAAAATCCCGTATGCGATTCATTGATAAGGTGGTTAAAGTGACAGAGAAGAGAATGGGGTGAATAGAAATAAGCGATTTTTCCTTCTTTTTTTTTTTTCAAGAATTTCCCCAGTACGACGACATTTAATGTGAACCCTGCATCCTTGTGTCTTCTCTTACCGAATTTAGTCGTTAACAATTAAAGTCAGAGAATTTTTTCACATTTGTTGGTTTGGTTAGATATTGGCCTGAAAACAGATTTTTTTTTTGGATTTCCTAACATTCTGCTGATAATTTCTTTTAGACGGAGGAGTCCAGTGTATGTACTTGTATTAGTAATGTTAATTGAACCAGTTTTATTAGTAATTGTGTTGAAATGAGTGTGATCAATCTTATAGGTACCACTAAGTTGTTGATTAAGAGAATGCAAGAATGAGTTGAGGTTTCAGGATCTTAGTATGGGCCCTCACTTAGAGCAGAAAGGGGAGACCAAAACAAGGATGGATATTTCTGATACTAGGGAGAATGGGACAATACCTCAAGATCCAGAAGATAAGACTATGCTATGTGCTAGTAATTTTGAAGATCACAGCTTTGATGTAGAAGCTATAATTGATAATGTTCCTGGTGGAAGAGAGGATAAGGAGCTTGATATAATTGGCTGTACAAGTTCTGGTGATCCTGGGATAGTTGAGGCTGAATGCCAGGATGCAACCGAGAACTCTAGTTCATTTGATGACACAGTATCTGGCCCAGAGAATGGTTTAGTTACAAGTGATCATGAAGTTGAGTCGCCATTTGATGACACATTGCCATTTGAAGGATATGATGGAGTTCTTAGGATGAGGTATTGTTTATTGTAAAAAAGTTGAGAAATTGTTTTTCATGTTTAAATCACAGTATTACGCTGCTTCTGAATTTCCAGGAAGAGAAGGTTGACAGATCATTGGAGGAGATTCATACGTCCTCTGATGTGGCGATGCAAATGGATAGAACTGCGAGTTAAGGAATTTCAATCTCAGGCATTAAAATATGATAAAGAACTTGCAGAGTATGATCAACAAAAACAGTCCGAGTTTGAAAAGTTTGCAATAGATGGAGTAGACACAAGATCACAACCATTTTCTGGCGAAAGACAAAAAATTATGAAGAGGAAAAAAAGAAAAAGGATTGAAGAAACTACTGATATTGCGTCGTATATGTCACACCACAATATGTTTTCCTATTATGGTATGTAGTTCGCATAATTCCTGCTTAATGCAGTTTTATTTGCTGATCAAGAATCTGATAAGTTATCTCTTTTCTCTTATGCTTTGCTTTTTTGCCCCCAGAATCTAGAAAGTCTGCTGCTGATGGTGCTGTAGTTGATGATATTTGCGGTAAAGCAGGTAATAAGTGAGAATTCTTTTACAGCCACACCCATTTGACTTAACTAACTAGAGTAATCATCTATGAAGTTCCAATAGTATATTTTATGATCAACCTGCTCACAAGATTCCTGCATCCTGAATCCAAGCCAATAATAATTGGCATTGTATTTTTTAATGATGAATAAGGCTTTCTCTCCCTAAAAATCTCTCTACACTCGTTACCTGCACAGCTCACCCAAACCCTAATCAAGACCCTCCCCACCTCTTATCTGACC